CAGTCTCCAAGAGGCAGGAATCCAGGAAACGGGGCTTTGTAGTGGAGGCCTCACTCATGTTACTGACAGCGCGTCTGGTGTGCTTGGCTCAGGTCTGTCCCTCAGGACAGCTCACTGCCTGATCTCACCTTTTAGCAGCACACAGATGCCAGGGGAGGTAAGACAAGCAGGTAATCAGTGAACATAAGGGTGCGTACAGCCTGGAGGCCATAGGGTTTAATGACTCATACCTTGGTGCTTTTTTTTTTTAAAGATTTTATTTATCCATTTTTGAGAGAGGGAAGGGAGGGAGAAAGAAAGAAAGAGAGAAACATCAATGTGCGGTTGCTGGGGGCCGTGGCCTGCAGCCCAGGTATGTGTCCTGACTGGGAATCAAACCTGGGACACTTTGGTTCGCAACCCGCGCTCAATCCACTGAGCTACGCCAGCCAGGGCTTACCTTGGTGCTTTTGCTCAACCATTTACATTCTCATAGCCTCCTCTTTCTAAAAACTCCCACCCAGAAGGGTTTCTTTAAGCACTAGAGCTAATGTGTGTGAAATGTTTTTCAGCTTTGGCTGCACTTTGGAATCACCTTGGATCTTTAAAACCCACCACTGCCCATGTCCCACCTCCAGAAATTCTGATGTAATTGGTCAGGGATGGGCCTGAGAGTGGTGATTCGAAGGCTACCCAGAGTCATTGATTCTGCTGTGTAGTCAAGGTCGAGACCCACTGACTGTAAAGCCTTATCGCAGCTCCTGACACATAGTAGGTTCTCAAATTGGTAGACAGGATTATGACAGTTGAGTGCATGAAGGAGGGTTAGGTAAACTGGAGGGAGAGATTCCTGGGGGCATTTCAGGAAGGCAGTGACATTTTACCCAGCCCTTGAAGAAAAGGCAGTGATTGCAGTGTGACCAAGATCTAGAAGTTGGAAAACCTGGTCCATCGATGTGAACCAGTGTACAACTATCTCAATATTATAGACATCTCTGTGGGTTTGTGTGTCTGTCCTCAACCAGGTGAAGGTCCCACCTTCATTGGGTATATCTGAGGGCATTACCTATATTCATTATCTATTGCTACATAACAGATTACCCCAAATCTTAGTCTTTTTCAAAAGTATATTTTGATTATTATGCTATTAAGTTGTTCCATTTTTTTCTCCCCTTTCTCCCCCTCTGTCCTGCACCCCACCTCCCTGAGCATCCCCCCCAACCCTAAGTTCATGTCTGTGGGTTGTACATATAAGTTCTTTGGCTTCTCCATTTCCTACACTATTCTTAATCTCCCCTTGTGTATTTTGTACCTACAATGTATGCTTCTTATTCCCTGTACCTTTTACCCCAAACTCCCCCTCCCCACTGATAACGCTCCATGTGATCTCCATTCCTGTTCTTGTCCTAGCTATTTGCTTGGTTTTTGTTTTTTAGGTTCAGTTGTTGATAGTTGTGAGGTTGCTGTATTTTACCATTCATAGTTTTGATCTTCTTTTTCTTAGATAAGTCCCTTTAACATTTCATATAATAAGGGCTTGGTGATGATGAACTCCTTTAACTTGATCTTATCTGGGAAGCACGTTATCTGCCCTTCCAATCTAAATTATAGCTTTGCTGGATATAGGTCCTTGCCCTTTCATGACTTTGAATCTTCTTTCCAGCCTGTTCTTAGTGTCTTAGAACAACCATAATTATTATCTCTCACTGCTTCTGTGGGTCAGAAATACAGGTTGGGGTGCAGAGAGCATGGCTAGTCTCTGTTCCTCTGTCCAGGGCCTTGCCTGGAAACCCTGGAAGCTGGGTTTAGAATCCTGTGCAGGTTTATTCACTCTCATGTCTGTGGTTGATGTCAGTTGTTGGCTGAGGGCCCAGCCGAGGCTGTCAGCTGGAACATGAGCACCCGGGCTTTCTTGCTACTTGGTGGCTGGGCTCTTAGGGCCCGCATCCTGAGAGAGATGGGGAGGCAGTCAGAAGCTGTATTCTTTCTATTACCTAGTCTTGGGAGACTCATAGCATCAATCCAGTTGATTTTGTTAGAAATTAACCACCGAGTCCAGCCCATAGTCAAGGGAAGGCAAATTAGATTCTTCTGTGGTTTGAAGGGGAGAGATGTACAAGGCTTTATAGGACATATTTAAAAGCCATTGCATTACTTAAATGCTTTAGTTCTTTCTAGCCTGTCATGGCTTGAACCTGGGGTTTGCAATCTGAAAATAAGATTTCAAGTCCTATTGCTACCTTCTCCTGGCAGGGGGGTGAATCACTTACTCTAACATAACACGCTTTCCTCTCCTTTTTTTCATCCAGTTAAAAGGAAGACCAATGACATGTATGTGCATGTGTTTTGCTAACTATATACAAATGCATTGTATTCTTTCTTCTTTAAAAAATTGTTTTAAGGTTTTATTTACTAAATTTTAGAGAGGGAAAGAGAGGGAGAGTAACATCAATGTGTAGTTGCCTCTGGTGTGCCCCCCACTGGGGCCCGGCCCACAGCCGGGCATGTGCTCCAACTGGGATGTGCTCCAACTGGGCATGTGCTCCAACTGGGAATTGAACCTGCCACCCTTTGGTTCATAGGTAGGCACTCAATCCACTGAGCCACAACAGCCAGGACTGTTCTTTCCTTTTCTGATTCCACTAACCTTCCTTGGACTGAGAATGAACAAATAATGCAAAATAAAGAATGACATGTGAAATCATGAGGTCAAGTTAGTGAGGAAAACTGATCATGAATACGGACAGGGTCTTCTTTAATTCCATGTAACGTAAAATATTTCTAATATAAATTATAAATGTACTCTTTATAGGAAATAGTTACTACTGATATTAAATTATTTCCAATTCTTGGAACAAATTCTTAAAAAATAGACTATTTTGTCTTCAAAATGGCACATGTATGTGTATATATAAAATATGCACACACACATGTACACATAAAATGTATGTATACATACATAGGTGTATATATAAAATATATGTATACATACACATATACATGTGTGTGTGTGTACATATATAACTGCATAGAAAAAGAATTGGAATGATACACCTCAAACAAAATTGGTCATTCCAGGAAAGGCCATTAGGTGAGGGAGAAGGGGCTTTCAGTTTTTAAAACAACTTGATAAATTGCACTAGTTTTTTAAAAACGAAGAATGAGCATGTGTAGCTGCACTATTTATATACCTGCATACTTTTTTAAAGAGGAGATCTTGGTAGTATGCAGTGCTGGGCGGAGAGAGGAAAGGGCAGGTGAGGGAGGTTGTTTCCATAATCTCCTGTGTTTTGTCCCAGTTTACAATTGGGTCCCTGGGAGATTTTATCTCAGTGTGCTGGGACTCCTGTGCAGCCTGAGGGAGTAGGAGACAGCCAGACCTAGCCAGGAGGGGATGAGACTGGAAGAACCTGGAGCCAGAGGAAAGGTAAGAGAGGCTGGAGTTAGCGAGATTAGATTGCCGTTGGGGAGGGTTAAGAATGAGCCCAAGGAGCCAGGGGAAGCTCGGGCACAAGCTCTGGGAGCCTTCCCCAATTGTTCTCTAAATGAATAGACAAAGCTCTGATTATTTATTTATTTTTTTCACCAAGGGGCTGGCTCCATCCTGGAGTACCTTTATAAAACTCTAGACCGTTTTAATGGGACAGATGACGAGTTGTTTTCCACCTGCGGTTTTTCCGTCATGCCAGCCATGCTTGGGTTTGCCTGGCTTTATTCTGTGACCAGAAGAGAAGTTGGAATTCTGAAAAGTTGCTTTAGCCAAATCCCACGAACAAAGAGGGCCTTGTTTGGGGTTATGCACATCAGCTTTTGGAGGAGTCTGATTCATCAGTTCGGATCTCTGCTTTTCAAGTTCTTGCTCTAGTTAGCCTTACGTTTCTCTGTCTGTGGAGGGCAGGCCCGATGAGGAACGGGCAGCGCAATCGGTCACCCTGCTCGAGGCCTCTGCCCGATTCCAGTGACCCCAGGAGGTTCAGCCTGGGCACAGCCAGCCCCTAGTGGTCCTAAATGGACACCTGTAAAGAATCCCAAAGAGGGAGGCAATCTTTTTAAAAATTCTTTTATTTACTTTTATTTTTGAGAAGATTTCATTTCTTTATTTTTATTTCTTAAAGATTTTATGTATTTATTTTTAGAAAGAGGGGAAAGGAGGCAGAAAGAAAGGAGAGAAACATCAATGTGTGGCTGCCTCTCGCACACCCGCCCTGGGGACCTGTCCCCGAAACACAGGCGTGTGCCCCGACTGTGAATCTAACTGGCTGGCGACCCTTTGCTTCTCAGTCTGGCACTCAATCCACTGAGCTGCACCAGTCAGGGCATCTTTATTTATTTTTAGAGAAGGGGGAAGGAGGGAATAAACGAGGGAGAAAAACATTGATATGTGAGAGAAACATCAGTTGGTTGCCTCCCCCCGCCCAGTGGGTGACCTGGCCCGCATCCCAGGCATGTGCCCTGATGGGGAATCAAACCAGCGACCTTTCTGTTCGCAGGCCAGCGCTCAGTGCACTGAGCCAGGGCTGGGAGGCGAGCTTTGTTACTGGGCTGGGCTTCTCCAGGGCTACATGGACACTATTATAATCTCTAAAATCTCCATGGATTGCATAATCCACCAGAGGTGGGTAGGTACAGACAGAAAATTCAGCAACTGGGAGTGACAGTCGCTCTCCTATTAGTCACTTCCCTTCCCGCCACTGCAGCATCCTAAGAAGATACCAGCATTGATGAGTTTGGGTCCTGGCTGAATATGGCTGAGGCCTGGAGCACATAAACCGGTCCTGAAATTTGTTTCCTGTTAGATTTACTTTCTCCGTAGACAGCAGCTATATGTTAAATGACGTTCCACCCCTGGGGAAGACTTGTGAGAAATCTGTAGGACCTGGGGGATTCCAGCTCTGTGCATGGAGAAGTTGTACGCTGCCTGTGTTGCCCATAATGCCTGGTGACTAATGGCATTATGTTACCAGTGTGAGCATGTGGCTGTCATTTTCTTCATCGTTCTCTCACTCTGTTTCCCTTGACAGGGCAATTTGGTTTTGATGCTGTGCCAGAAATCTTCTGACAATGAGTTACTGGAACTTGGAGAAAAAGAACTGTGTGCAGTACCGCAGGCATTTTCTGGTGGACAACAGCGTGTTTCACGGTGAGCTGCCTTTTGTACTTATGTAGATGGGGCTTTTATTTCCTTTCTGACAGCACTTTCATTCGAGCACTCTGGGTGCAAGTGTGGTGCACTGTTGGGGGGAACCCAGAGCTCGAGTTAACTTGTTGATGGGTAGTTACCAAGAACCCACAGTTGTAAGCAGTGCACCCCAGCCCAACAACCAACATGGTGCCATCACTTTCTACCTTACGAGTGAGTTTATATCAGTGCCTCATCTCATCTACTACACTGTCAGCTCTAGTGATGCCCCTTCCCCATGTTTGAAATCTATGGATCATCCATCAGTGCTTATCACCAGCACAGTGTGTGTCTCTTCTCGGGCCACACATAGAACCAGAACAGCGAGGCTCACAGCACTTGACTGTCACTATCGGGGTGGATTACCGCAGCAGCTGTAAGGCACAGAGTGACCAGTGTTTGTCATTTTCACGGCGCACTGAGACCGATGGCCTTTCTCCTGCTCTGGCGTGTTTACTCTGTGGTATGCAGTCAGGGATAAGCTCTGTCAATACTGCCATCAGCGTACCCTTGAGTGGAGTTTATTTACGCGTCAGAGATTCATGTGTTGCCAGAAGTTTTTGAGTAATCTCCATCAGAAGCGGATGGAGGTGTAGCAGGAAAGGGGAGATTTCAAAGGGAGTGGGGTGCTGTTTTGGCAGAATCCTGTAATCTGAGCTGCCTTCTGCTTTCTAAGCTGGGTTTTTCTTCCCCAGTGTAATGACAGTGTTTTTATTCCTTTAAATTAAGCTTACGATGACAAATTTACCATTACTTTATTAAAGCACTTTCGAGTTTCCACTGTTTTTCCACATTCTTTATAACCACCATACTATAGGATTTTACTAGGTGGAGGGGGACTTTATTTTACAGGTCAGGCAAGGGAAGCAGAGATGAGATGACCAGTCCGCGTTGATGTAGCTAATTATTATTAGCAAGGCCAGAACTGAAAGTCCTGCCTCCACCTTTCCAGGCTGGCTCTTGGCTTCGCAGCCGTGAAGGAAGGGCCCTTAGCAAAGGCGTCACGGAAACCGCGCCTTCACACCGGGGCACCAAGTTCGGCTTTGTTTCTCTGTGACCCTCCCCTAAGGGTCGTGTTCATTGCTCCATTCTCTCACATGCAGTGCTCGCTGTGTGGCATTTTCCCTCGGAACTTTATCTGCAGTAAAAAAATTATGAACAGGTCATCGAAGAAACACAAGCGTTAGAAAAAGTAGCTTTACTGTGTCAAGTTTTATTTTGTGCCAGTTTTGAAGAAGTTAACATTTAAATGCCTTCGTATGTTATTTTAGAATGCCTTTGTCCAGAGGTCTCAAGTTTATAAGAATTTAGAAACCATTTCCTATGTGTTTTCATAGTTGTACAACCACTTCTTAGCGTGTTACCATATTGCAGATATCTATGCTGAGGGCTTGATGATCATTGTCATATTGCATTATCTCACTACCTTGCAATAGTTGTTATTCTTCCCAGTTTATGGATGGGGACAATGGAGGCGTGGGAGGGGTTGTGAAGTGGGAGATCCAGAATCCAAACTGTGCTCTGCATAAGTCCCAAACCCCACCATGTCTGCCACGCTGTCACTTCCATTTCAGTAGAGAAATTAGCTCTCTGGGAGGTTTGAGTTCTCTTCAACCAGACTTGCTCTGCTACTCGCTTTCAGCGTGTGGGCTTGATTTAAGCAGTTTACATAATCCTCTAGGATAGCAGTCCACTCCTCTATGAAATGAGGGTGCTGGTGTCAATGAATTTTGAGGTTCTTTTGAGCTTTAATTTCCGAGACCCCATTGAAATAGTTCTGAGAATAAGAATTACTGTTACTTTGTGAGCTGCCTTTTCACTAAACAGGAGGTACACAAGAGGGCAGTAGAATGCTTAAAATATGAATGGATTACTTCTTAGGTGCAAGAATTACTTTTTTTTGAAAGGATGTAGAGATTTTATAACTGCTCAATATTTAAGTGATTAGAGTCCCTTAGAAATAGAATTCTATTCATTTAAAATAAAGCAGTAGCCTTAAGTATTTCTGACAGTGTAAATTATGATTTTGAATTTTTGTACCTAAGGGTATGTAATTCAGGAAAAAAATGATGCCTCTGCTCTTCACCTCTGCAGAAAATTAACATTGTTAAGCCAGGAAGTTATTTAACTTAATGGAGCATTGTAAGGGTTCTTGGTATATTTTAAGCCAAGGGAACTCTAGTGATAATATCTTTGTAGAGGATTTTGGAACATTTCCAGGAGAAGACAGGGACAGGATATGTTGAGTCAGAAATGTCAGCTTTGTTTTAGAGGGACTTCTGGAACACAGGATGAGCATTTGGATGCTTTTTGCGGATTAGCTTGGCCTCTCCATCTGCTGATAATTGTCCTTACATTACCAAATCAATCAAAAAGAAACAAAACTGTCCATTATAAACAGAAAACAGCCATATCCTCTGTGAGATAATAGCTTGTAGAATATACAGACATGACTGTGCAAATCATGCCAGCCAGACTTTCACGTGTACACTTAAGTGGGACTCCCAGAAGAAGGGAACTGCATTAAAATGAGGGCTCTGTAGGCTAAAATGGTCAATAAAAGTAACAATAAAAATGTGACTCATGTATACAGTTCACAGTTCAGGAAGCATATTCATAGACTTATTTTATGATTATAAAGGAAGTGTGGTTTTCATTGGAAACAATTTAGAAGTTTACCCACAATCCCACAGCCCGAAGAGAAACACTTTATAGTTTCCGTTCAGTCTTTTATCAATTTCATCTGTGCAGCAATCCTGATGTGGAAATGTGATGATATCTGGGGAAGTCAGGAAATGGTGGATGCTGCTCACCAGAAATGAGCTGGATGGGTTGACTTAGTTCTGTGTGCAGTGATGAGAGGAACCCTCCTAAAAATTATGGAAAATTGTTTTTGTATTTCCCACTTGTCTGCCCTTTGCCCAGATTTTTAGGTGATCTACTGAATCCAAAGGGATTAGGTACCTGCCAAAGAGGCCAGTCACTGGAGTTTTCCTCTACTTGGCTTTTACTCTCTTGTTATGTTTGAAGTAGAGAAAAAAACTTGGGCAAAGAATGATTGTTGCAGTATGAACCTTTTAATGGTTTATACACTCATCACAGTATTTTTGTTTAAAAATTACCTATACCCTCAGGTGTTTCTCATGGTTGCTGTGAACTGCAGCATTTTTTGACCTGGGACACAGGTTTTCAAACCAATAATCAGTTTATTTTTAAATTAATATATGCAATTTCTTGTGCACATAAGCTTTTCTAAACATTTGAGTTCCTTAATAGAATATACTTGGAGGTGACTTAATTTTTGATTTCAGGCATTGCTAGTTAAAATTGTGATATTGGAAGAAATGATTGTTTTCCTATAAGTTATTTTGGTATTATCCCAACTTATTGTATTGAAATTTATTTCTGTTGCCATCATGTTGTTATAGGCATTACATAAAAATTCAGTTGAGTAAATTTCAAAGATCTAATTGGCTTTTTTAAAGACTTTATTTATTTATTTTTAGAGAGAGGGGAAGGAAGGGAGAAAGAGAGAGAGAAAAACATCAATGTATGGTTGCCTCTCGCGTGGCCCCCACTGAAGACCTGGCCCACAGCCTAGGCATGGGCTCTCACTGAAAATCGAACTGGTGACCCTTTGGTTCCCAGCCTGTGCTCAGTCCACTGAGCTACACCAGCCAGGGTTTATTGGCCTCATTGACCAATTCATGAATTGTGCAGCATCCCATCTAGCAAGTAGAAAGGAGCTCCAGAGGGCTGTAGAAAGGGAAAAGTTTTTAAAGGAAGAGAGAGGCTGGGACACCTCCTCTTTTTATAAATAAAAAAAGGTTCTTTTGGGTAGGGTCACCTATCTTTGGGACAAGCAGTTTTGTTAAGAGGATTGGTGTTGACCCGGAAATTCTAGGCTGATTGCTTAAGATTACCTTCCTGAGGAAAGTTGTAACTGCAGTTAGGTTAGGCATTAAATCTTGTTTGCTAGTATGGGCCTAGCACAAGTGACACCATTTTGGTGGTGTTGTTCCTTAACATGCGAATGTTTCTGAATGACTGTCACAAATCTAGGCTAGAAATATTTTGAATTGAATCATGAGTGTCTCGCTCTTACTGAAAGTGGCCCGAGATGACCTCTGAAAAGGGTTGGCTCTTCACTTGACCCAGAAAACCCCACAAAGTCATGCAAATCAAGAGGTTCAGATCTTCACGTTCACTTTAAGAACACTCCTGAAGCTTCCCAGGCCATGGGGTGTGCATATCTGAGAAGCTGCTCCGTGTCTGAAGGATGTCACTTTATAGAAGCACTGTGTGCCATTCCGTCGTTAGAGTGGTGGAGTTGGTAGGCGGGGCTGGACACAGAGTTGGTAGCTTAAAAATGCAGAGAGTAGTGCTGAACTTAAGACTTTATATGTAGGTTCTCTGGTCATTGAGCACATTCCGGTGAACAAAGCTCCCAAGATGCGGTGTAGACTTTACAGAATTCATGGGCAGATTAACCCCTACGTGAGCTCTCCCGGCCACACTGAGGTGACCCTTTCTGAAAAAGGGCAGATTGTTCCTGACCCAGAAGAGGAAGTTGCACAGAAGAAAAAGCTATCCCAGAATAAACTGAAAAAAACAAAACAAAACAAAACAAAACAAAAACTTATGGCCCGGGAGTAAATTCAGCATAAAATAAATACTAATAACAGTGTAAAAAAGAAAAGAACTATGAATGTCTTTTACTATCTAGGGCTAAAATTAAAGATAGTTCTCTTATTAAATAAACATGTATGTAGTATTTCTTTTCAAAAAGTGCCTCATATGGGCTTTTACTTTGCCTTATGACAACCTTCTGATAAAAGTAATTTAATTTAATTAAATAAATTTCTTTTTCATTCAGCCTCCACGTTATGGCCAGAGGCCTAGCTGATGAAGCGAGGACAGAAATTGGACTGCCGGTTTGCCAAGGAAAGGAGGGTGGAGCG